CTCACTCTCACTCTCACTCTCACTCTCCACTCTCACTCTCACTCTCACTCACTCTCACTGTCTCTCTCTCTCTCTCTCATCTCTCTCATCTCTTTCATCTCTCTCTCATCTCTCTCATCTCTTTCATCTCTCTCTCATCTCTCTCTCATCTCTTTCTCATCTCTCCCTCATCTCTTTCTCATCTCTCTCATCTCTCTCTCCTCTCTGTCTCTCGTCTTTCCGTCTCTCTTCTCTCTCTTCTCTCGCAGGAGGATCCGGGCAAAGAGCCATAAAGGACTCTTCACCCCTGCCTCCAAAAAGAGCGCCGTGTTTTTTCCTACCTCGCTGCCCTCCACTTTCCCATTCTGGAGCGCTAGCTTTCGCCCCCCCCCCCTTGGCCTCAAATTCTTGAGCCACATCCGGTGAAATGGGGTGTCCCACTTTCCGTGACCTCAAGCGGCATCCCTGGTGTCGAAGGGGCAAGAAGCCTGCCCAAGCATTTGCTGTAGGCACTGTAGACCGTAGTATTGCTGAAATGCATTGAACATCGAGTGCGCGAGCATCTTGAGACCAAATGATGGAGACATCATGACCAGCAAAAAAATCCTGATGGGTGGGGTGCGACATCCGGAGCGACCGAGGTGACCATGGCCTTCGGCCGGGCCATCGAGGTGTCCAAGGTGCCGAAGCGTGATTCGAAGCGCCAGGGATGGAGAAAGGGGGGGATTCGAACAAAAAGCGGGCCACTTCGGAGGAGAAAATTCGGAGCTATTGAGTTCGGTACCTGCCTGGAGCTGGAGTTCTGCCTCCTCCTTGTCCTCCTTGACTAAGTCGAACGGTACAGCCTCCCTGCCTCCTCCCTGACTGGCCGGTGTGTCGCCGGAGCTGCCCACGGTCGTTGGAACTGGACAGGTTGAAAATCCCACAGAGGAGCAGATCGATGAGGTGCACCAGAAATTCCTCCAGGCCACGAAGCAGATGCCCCTTGGAGAGAGATGCGAACGTGTCGTCCCTTATTGGAGCCCCCGGTGACTCAGGAAAAGTGGATCACCAGTGGTTCTCCCCACGAGACCTGTACTTATATAACCACGCTTCGTCACGTCAAAAAACAGGTCGAAAGTTCAGTTCAACTCGGAAACGGAACAGGAGTCAGAGGCGCACCGCACGAGGATGAGAAACCTCATCCTCGCGGTTTCAGGCGTGCCAGACAGGAGTGCAATCAATCGTTGCAGTTTCCATTCACCAAGGGAGCCGGAGACTATGGAAGAATTCATCGTCAAAGGGACCTGAGAGAGAAAATTGTCCATGAATTTGGACAAGTACAGCCGATTTTGGACTTGCAGGGTAACTGAATGGAATCTGAAGGATATATATACGATCTGGTCCTCTCTCAGGACGGAGTTCTGACACTCTGTGACATCATCCGCGGATGGCACCACTTTAGAATCTCTACAGAATCTAGAAGGTCCTAGGAGTCCTGCCCAAGAATTCATCAGCTACCGGAACCCCTCGACTGTAGAGGGCCAAATCCAATATAGGGTGAAACGGCTGGAAGTTTGAGAAAAAAGAAGAACAGAACGAGACCTGACATGTTGGTGTACACTCAGTCTGCCTGGAGAAACAAGTTCAGCCCAGGTTTGATTTGCACAAAGCATCCTTGGGATGGGGTGACAAGGAGATGGAGTTCGTTTGAGGCCTGCTGGGCCGATGGAGTTGTCGTGAAACTCGTCGCATTGTTGGGATCGATGGCGTGTGCTTTTGAGATCGATGGCTCAGCTGCTCAGGTGCTCGTGATGGTTAGTGGATGTCAGTTTTACCCAGACGCGGACACGAATGCTTGCGGTCAGGGTCTGCAGAGTCTCAAATCCGTTGAGGGACCGTTCGAGCGATTTGTCAAGCGTTTGGGATATGATTTGGGGTCCAGTGATGGGGATTTTCCCAATGACCGAGCTGCATCGGATTTGTCATGGTTTGAGGTCACCTACGGAAGGTTTGACTCGCGCTGCGGCATGAGTTTCAGCGCCCCAAGTTCCCATGCGGAAACTGGGGTCCAACTCATTGAACCGTCTATCAATTCATGTCTGACTTTCCGAAAGCATGGCTTTTCAGTTCGGAACATGTGTTTTCTTTGTGATATGTTGTGATTCTGATACATGTTCAGCTTCGCCAAGAGCCCTAGCAGTGGTTGCAATGGCCAGTTTGGGATTCGTGACATTTCAAGGCCTTTGCGCAGAAAGACCCTTTTATACCCTTTTTCCACCTGTTCTGGTGTCCACTTCGGGGGGGTCCTCTCACCCAATGTGGCACATCCGATGCAGGCCATTGGCTCATCCTTTGGGCGCCGCGCTGCTCCCGTGCATGGCTCATCAGCAGATTTGTGCAGCAAATCCTGCGAGATTCGACGCCGACCAGAGCCGCATTGGAAAAGACGTGCGGATTGGAAGGAACGTTGTTTTATGGCTGGGCAATTTTGCTGTAGCTCCTCTAGGCCAGATAAAGCCTTCAATTGCATTTGGCAGAGAGCTCCTCCGAGGTTTGTACCGTCACAGCAGCGATGAAAAGTATTGGGCACAAATCCGCTACGCTCAACAGCTCTTGTGCCCTGTCTCTTTCAGCGCGAGCGCTTTCACGTGGCGCGCTTCCGGCAGGGATGTCGAGTTCTGCTGGGGGCGATGTCAGCCATAAAAACAATTTTTGTTTGGGCATACCCGTGCTATCAAAATTTGGTTTTGGAATCGGTTTGGAATATTGACCCAGTATGGGAAGATCAAGCTTCTACTGAACTGAAAAAGCCGTGCATGGTTAATGATCATCCAGAATTGTCGATTGTGATGTAATTGCTGTTCGCGTTTAGCAGGGGGCAAACGAGTCGAGTCCTGTGTCAAACCCACCCGCTGTGACCTTATGCCTTAGCACTTCACAATCGTTAGGCATGGAAGCTGTCGCTGGGGGATGCTAGGTGTATTGGCAAGGGCTTGAGCCAACGGTTGAATTTGGTGGTTCATTCTTGATGGCTAGCGCGGGGTAATTGCAAAAAAACAATATAATCAAACTGGTGGAGTGCCATAGTCAGCTTCAGGCGTAGATGAAAGAAGACTGAAAAAGAAGAAGAAGAAGAAGAGTATTTGCACTCTAGTTCTATGACATACCACCAGCGTTGAGAAAGAAGGTCGGTCCGAAGACATGCCATACTTGATGCCAGTCAGACGTGATAACAGACCAAATGTTAGAAGAGGCGACAGAACACATGTCAGAACATGTCACATGCCAGATTCGATGGGAGAGCAGGCTAGAGCACGTGTCAAACGTACATGCCAGAACGATCCGTTTTCTGCATGCCAGAAAGTTGGTCACTGCGTGTGGGCCTGCCTTCTTGCAAGTCGCCTCTCAAGATGGGGTTCTCTCAAAGTATCAGGTCATGTTTTTTGGGGGTTGGTTCCAGCTACTGGTTCCAGCTCCGTTGGCCTCCCGGATCCATCCGCCGAGGTCTCGCAGCATCGGCACGGAGCTGGCGCTCGCCGAGGCCTCGCGCCAGCAGGTGCGAAGTCACCTCCTTCAGTGGTGTGGATGTGGCTTGAAACCTGTCACAGCGTTTGAATGTGGTTTGAGTCTGCACTGGGCAGAAGGTGGTTGCATTTCATGCTTGCCGCAATGGAGCCGAGTGGGAGCGTATAGCGGTTGTGCAGACAGGCTTTTGGCCCCCATGACCTGTGGAGCTGCGTATATTATTTGGCACTCTCCAATCATGGTTAACTTATACTGGAATGATGAAGGAGGTTTGCATAGGTTTGCAGTTTGTGCACTGGCCCCGTGTTTGGCGGCTTCTTGGTGCGCCAGCTCCTCGCGCGAGAACTCCCTTCGAGCGTGCAGGTGCTGGAGCCTTTGTTTCGCGAGATCCTCGATGCACAAGAGGCTCGGACCCTCCAGGCCTTAAGATCAGGTCGACCCAGCACGGCCTGGGTTCCCAAGCAGTCCGGGAGTCCATGGATGAACACCGGGGCCACCCAAAGTCTAACCCTTGTTCATCCATATTTCATATGGAACTTGGACACCCCTGGTAATTGGTCCAGTTCCTTCAGTTTCGGCTATGGAGGTAGGAGATGGAACACATATTAGAGAAGGGGGTTTCACATGAACGATCAACAACGTTCCAAAGGAATGACATCGGCAGGCTGACCGCATGAGCGCCATCACCATGCTTTCCGTGCTGCCCGAAGCTGAGTAACTCTCCTGCCTTTGTACATGATAGTGACAGTGCCCGTGCATGCCTTTCCTGCCTGCCTTCGTCCCTTGCTTTGCATGAAAACACAGTTTGTTTAAGTGTGGTACCGCATCTCATGGAAGAGCCAGTCGGAGATGCACATCGGTGCATATGGTGCAATCGTTGTTTTCAGATCGAATGAATGGCGCCCCATTGAGCGACCCAGAGCAGCGGAGCACATAACAATACATAACATACCAATTACACTGACACTCTTTGGAACTAAGATGGAAGTGGAAAATTACTTGTTTGTAGAGGAACGCGCCCTTCCAAGAGGCCATTTTCCACTTCCATGTTTGTTTGGAGGGATAGTATCTTGCAATGTCAGCTTTTTGACTTGGCCTCGTTGACTAGACCAAAGAACCCCTTTGATACCAGGGTGATGTCGCCCTGACAAAAGAACAGGTCTCTCTCTCCCTGCCTTTTCAGTGAAGACATGGGTTGTCGTTCGTGTCGTCCATGGGACGTGCACCGTTTTCCTCACGCCACGTCACCCGCGCCCGCCTTCCTGCGTGCGCTTCGGCGCACGAACTGTTACCCGCTACTAGTAGCTTCTTGTTACAGCTGAAAGGATTCCCGGTGAAACGATTCCCAAGGAAGCTTCTAGCTACTAGTAGCAAGAATGCTACTTAAGAAGCTTCAAAGACATACCAAAAAGCTTCTTCCTAGGGATCCAAGTATCTTCTCAGAAGGCACCTGGACCTCCAAACCCACCCCAAACACCTTCTGAGAAGGCACTTGGATCCCTAGGGTTTCTTACTATAGTAGCGCAAGGAACCTATATAATAGGAATGGCCTTCGTGCGCCCAGGAACGAACTGGTGTCCCGCTGGGATGACGAACAACACCGCCTCCGCCGGGCGCCCGGAGGAGAGGCAAGCAGGCTGATATGGCCGAACGAGCATGTCCAATGGCACGGTAGAGAACCTGAAAAGTCCATTGAAAACGGAAGAGGTGGGAAAAAGCGGGTGAACCCTAGCTTTGTTGCTGGGAAACGGAAGAGGGGTCGGAGAAAAGGAGATATTTGTGTTGGTTTGTGTTGGAAATGGCGTGTAAAGTCTAAAGTATGAATGCTCGGAGGTCGCCGGCACTGACGCCCCAATGGTTTTAAGATCTTCAGCTTCGAAGACTCAAAAGGTCCGGGAGAGGTGGATCTCAGCATGTGGAGATCCACCATATCAATTGATTACATAGTGGAGTTCACCTTTTGACGTCTTCCAAGGGGCCATGCGAATCCACGTCCACGTGATGTTTTCGTCCGTGTGTCACAAGCGTCACGACCCCTCTTCTCAGACGTCACAAGCGTCACGACTCCTCGAGGTCCCGGCCTCCCCACTGCATGACTCAGGTGCTGCTAGCCCAGCACCGGTCACGCCACCAAAGAACGTCACCGGTCCTCGGAAAAAGGGGTCGGAGGGTCAGCGAGGTCAGCGAGGTTGCTGTCCTGGGACCGGGTTCGGATCAAAAGAAAGCTCTGCAAGGGCTGTTTGAAGGGTGATTCCAGGGAAACCTGTCTAAGTATGATGGCAGGTCATACAGATGTAGACAGGCGTCCGGGCTGAGGAAGTATGAGCTGAGGAAGTATGAAAGGAAACTCTTCAAGAAGCATGAGTTCAGGCGATTTCAGGACTGTTGTTGCAACTGGCATCAGTGGCTAAGGCAAGAACATATCTTTAACCATTTTTACATTTGCACCATTGCATGTGCATGGTGCATCCTCGATCTTGATGATGTTTCATGTGATAGTCGATGTTCAAAGTGGCCGCACTTGAGGCCCGGTTCCGCTTTGCTTCGGTCGTAGCCTCCGTGGCCCGGAAGCTTCACGTCCGCCGCCGCCCCCGAGGCCGGAAAGCGTGCTCGACCCCACGGCAGTCCCGGCTCCGAGGAGTGAGGGTTGTGGCGGGGCGAGGCGAAGGCAGAGTCGGTCAGAGGGTGGATGAGGGTGGAGGAGGGTGGATGGGTTCTTTCTAGTATGTCATTGAAGCTTTCTAGTAACTAGAAGCTAGTAGGTTGGAGGCCATCGCTTTTAGGTTGGGGGGCTATCGCTACTATAGTAACAATAAAGTGTTCTAGTATGTTTTTGAAGCTTCATGATTCTTAGGGGCCACACCGTCACACCTAGATCGCCCAGCGTGTGGTTTGGGGTCAACGTGTTCACCAACTTGCAAGTCGCGGAAACTGTCTCCTGGCTAGCTGGAGGCAGATGGCAATCCCCACCAGCCTTTGCAACGGGGGCCTCCGCAAAGGGCACTGCACATTTGATAGTAAATCTCCACTTCGGATGCTTGGATACTATCTTAACTTGCACCTTAAGCCCACCTTAGCCCCAATCCATCTTGGATGCAGCTGCCCCATTGTTCTCCAAATCATTCCCACATAACTCACCTTCCTTCGCGCCCGCCAGGATCGGGAGAGCGCGGATGAGCTCATGGGTGACACGGAGGCCATGGCGCAAATGCGGCTTGGCCGAACGAGTCTTGCGGGGGCTGTTTCTGCGCCACCTTGCGAGCGAATGGAGTAAAACCGTAAAACCCTTATATGTGTTTTTTTCTATATATTATATGTTCTATTTTCCATGTCTAGCTCGCGGTCTCAGATCTCGAAGAGCTTCAAAGTCAAAAGTATATTCGAAGCAGGTCAGCAGGTCCTTTTCCACGGGAGTTCTTGAGTTCTTTTTGTCATGCCTCGCTCTCGTCGATCGCTCTCGTCCAGCGTCCTCCGGTGTCGATCGGTCCGACCGAGACGGCTGTCCAGCCGGGTCCGGGACGGATTCCGGCCAGCACCCACTGGAAGGTATCAATCCATTGAAATCCCAATCCTCTCGCTTTGTAGAGGAAGATGCTCCCGTTCGGGTTCCATGATGTTCCATCTATCCCCACGCCACAAATCCTGAGGACCCTGGCCTCGCCAGCGAACCCGGGCACACCGTTCGGGGGCCCGTAGTTGTGGCAATGGGTGGTGGTGAGGACCACAGGGATGTTGAATACATTTTGTTTGTTGAGGTTCCATGGCAAGTGTTAAGATGTGTTACTACCTCTCGGTTGCAAAAGCAACGACGAGTGTTTTTTTTCCAGAAGTGTTACTAAAATTGCTTGGGTGGTTGAGAAATGTTGAAAAAACTACTAAAAACTATCTGAACAAACGTCCAAAGTTTGCTGGTTCATGTTTTGAGTTTCAATGGCCATTCATGATGCCAGAACCTAGGCCGCAAACTCCTCAGCGCCCACAACGGCGATTCAGAGGAGGCGATCAGATCGGACTGACATTCCCCAGATCGCCTGAGATCAGGTGCCAACCACTGCAGACATGTTCAGGGGACGCTCCATCAACTACTGCAACCAAGAGAAGTTGAGGACCTGTCCAGGATAGAGCTCAAGAGATAGAGCAGTTCGACCAGGTGCAAATGAATGCTTATAACAATGTTTGCACCGAAGTTGGTGCACTCGGCTTCAGACCTTCCATGAACGGCTGCAGCTCAAACCAGGAAACGGCAAACATGTGGGCTCAGAGGAGCGGTTGGTTGATCAAAAACGGACAAGAGCTGTATATGGCATGCAGCATTGTTTTGTTTGGCGGACTTCACGGGCTTCCCTTTACTATCTTTACTCCCACCTTTTGGCTGATGTTCTTGAAGCATGTGTACACACGGAAAACCTGGATCAATTCTGCTACCGTAATTTGCACTCGGAGACGTCAAGTAAGTCGACCCGCAAGACATCAGCCGTGAAGATGCAAGGAGACCCGGATAAGATATGATACATGCAGAAATCATGTAGATCCATGCTGGAGTGGATAGAGCGTGAAGCACCACTGATAGAGCCTGAACCAGTTTCTACTCCAGACCGGATCGGGTGAACACCGGATCGGGTGAATCCATGGGATCAGCCGTACGGTCCACCCGGCTGAAAAGCCGGAGACATGTCCCAGACATGTCACGGACTGCACCCGGAGAAATGGAAGAATGTATAGCGAAGAAATGGCAACCCGTGGGAATTTCACGAAGTTCAGAAACATGACTGTTTGCATTTGATTAGCTTTTTCTTTAAGTTTAGTGGTTTAGCTGGTAAATGATTAAATGGGGTAGGGCACTGCTTTGTGCGCGAGTTGCAGTTTTGTTGCTTTCATTCCTTTTATGTGGAGAATGGACCCAAACCGAGCTAGCCGAAAGCAGCCAGGTGCAGTATCAGCCTCACCTTGCAGAGACTTTGGATTTGTGCTGGGCACCCGGATTGCACACTCCCATGTGTCGCCCGTTTCAAAAGCGCCGCGGCAAAAGTCATGTATGGCTGTCGGTCGTTGACCTGGTCGTCTAATCTGTTCATGTTCCATGGTCCGCCAGGGTCCCCCGGTTTTGATCCCACAGCCATATTCACTCCCGTGGCGCCCGGAAAGCAAATGAACTAACAAAGCAAGTCAAGGAATTTCGGCGATGTGGGTGTCTAAAGCTGATTCTGACTGAGCGCAAGCATCACCAAGCAGACCCATTTTCGACCTTTGGAGTGCAACCAGGGCATACCCGTACCTCAAATGTGATGTTTACCTCACCTTCCACACTTTCTGGCCCAGTCGCACCCTGACCTGTACCGACCGATCTCGCCACAGGCCATGCACTCCCGACCGCGCTCCTCGCAGAGGTGGAGATGTGGACAGAGCAATCAGTCCGAGTGTAGGGCTGCAAGCAGACAAAGCTGTGGTTAGGGTCTCACCAAGGTGTTCCATGCGATTTCAAGCAGACGAGCCACCCACCGAAGCAGGCGTCGCAGGCGTCCAACGAGCCTGCGAATCATGGGGAGCTTCTCCAGTCGTGGGGTGGTCCCATCATGACGATCGGCTCAAGGACGGATCTCGTCAAGGAGAGGTCCTTAGAACTGAGCCTCATCCCCATATGCTAGAGCATGTTCAAGCCGTAGTATAGTGTGTGATGCCTAATGTAAATACATATTTACATATACGTACATACACAGAATATACAATAAATCCTGTGTGTGTTTGGCCAGGCCAAGGATTTGGTATCATCAATGTTGGAATTATATGGGGATATAATTAATTATATACTAATAACAAAGCACATTTGCCTCGCTTTTGTGAGAAGCAGCTGAGAAGCCAAAATGCATGGAAGCACGAAGCCATGGAGAAGCAGAGAAGCAGCCTATCCACCAACCGAAGTCGAGAGAGCCCTGGAAGTGCTGAAGCTGAGGAGATAGGTGTGGCTGCAGAGTCTGAGAAAGTTTGTACGTCTTGAGTCAAGACAAGACCAATCATTAATGATGAGACCAAGCCTTTAATTCAACGTTTGTATTGAAACAACTTGGTCTTGCGTGTCAAGTTCGGATCTTGTTTCTGTTCCTTCTGAGCCTGTGTATTGCATGATGTTTTTCCTCATGCTGTGTGTCACAAACCTGGCACATGCCTCGGCCTCAATGAATCTGCCAGCGAAGAGACTTGAGCGGAGAAATGATTGACCCCAACGTCCTTGAAACAATGGCGTGCCATCGTCACCAGACGCAGACTATACCTTCCATTGCCTTGTTGACACCTGGATTCGTGCGACCTGTCCAAAGCAGCACAGGCCGAAACATGTTCCAGTCATCACGCCGACGTCAGCCGCCGCCGTCAGATGATGATCGTCCCTTTCCACACTTGAGCTCCTTCACCCGGCAAGATCGCATGAAGAAAGCTGCATACTACTTGTTGGAATCGCAGAACGCATCCCAGGCCGATCCGCCACCGACGCGCCAACCGGGGACAAGGGCAGAAACTCACCTGTCTTTGTGCAAACGTATTACAAAATGGATGTTGCTAGGTCATGGTGCTATTGTTTAGAGCCAGCCTTACCAACAAACAGTTGTGAGATGGGATGAGATGGGTCTCGGGCGGTGGCAAGCGAGGCTCAGAGATCACGCCACAAAGAGTTCACACCATGTGCTCGCCGTGTTGAGCCTTTTTATGCCTTCTTCTGGCCATGTGGCAGTGTCCTGTTGCACCTCCCAGGAGCAGTGGCAGTTCTTTGAGACGTGGTTGAAGTTTGTCTTCGATGAAGCGGTGCACGTGGCCCCTGGAGGAGGACCAAGTGGTGCTGGCTCGGTGGTCGATGAAGCGTTGAGAGAAGATGACCCTTTGGTCTTCCTTTGTAGCGAGAAGAGTCGCCACCTTGTGCGAGTCCTGCATAGTGATGCGCGCCACCGTCGGCCGGGCTCCAAACCATCGGACAGACGTACCACACCTGAGGAGCTCAGCTGCGGGTGCCGAGCGACTTGGAGAGCTTTGAACTGAGCATCAAAGCCTCCAAGGAGTTGATGCTGATTCTCGGCCTCTTGAGGTAGGTCGGTAGGTGAGGAGGATATGGCTGGGTTCATTTCGCCTTTTTTCACCTCAAGATTGATCAGGCTAATTAGTCTTCATGGCTTACATTCCCTCCATGGCTGGAGACACTGTGAGTCGTTTTCTCACCCGTTTTACATGCTAAACGGCTCCCTCAACCGTTCGAGGAGCTTCTGTAGATGGGCCAAACAAACAGATGGTTCGGTCCACCGAAAGAATATTTACAATCATCCACATGGTGCACCAAAGTAAGTAACTGTAGCAGAAGATGCATGCCAATCCCATCGAGGTTTGCCACAAAGGCCGATGAAAACGGTGAGGATCAGCATTTGGCTTCAGGGGGGCTGCCCAGCCTGGCTTTTTGGCCCACGCCTTCGTCGTCCGGGGCCGAGGAGACTGGCGAACCGCTTCCTCCAGGCTGGAACCGAGCCCGACTGCCTGGAGTCCAGTTCGGGGACCAGTCAGAAGTGGGGTGTCCATGGAACAGATGTTCAGATGTTGTTTGAAAGATGATGGAAGATGGGACATCGTCTCGTTTTTCCTTGTATTTACCATTGACACTGTTTTGATGTCATCTCCTTGGGTATTCAAGTTGCTTCCACGGCAGCACCCTTGGCTGTTGAACATTGTGGAGGCCTTTTTCCTACCCCCAAAACAAGCCAGGGCGCAACCACCAGACCGACCCTCCGGGATGTCTCAGACCGCATCATATCCGCCAGGCTTGCAAGGTGCCGGACCTTCGGATGATGAGCCAACTGAGCCAACTGCAGCACGAGATTCCCGTCTCCGAGATCTCCTTGTGGTGTAGGAGAGCGCAACGAGTGCATGAGGATGGTTGCAGTGTGAAACCCTTTGGCCCATAGGTGTCCATAGATACTACTCGATGATATGCGTATATACAGATATAGCATATCAACATATAGGTATAGATTTACACACAGGCAATTAGACATACATGCCTATATGTACATACGTACATGCACACACACACAGGCAAACACACAATGCATGCATGCATCCATCCACCCATCCAGACAGACCAGATCAGACCAAAACCAGAGCAAACAGACAGAGACAGACAGAGAGGCACACATATACACAGACATCCACAAATGCGTATGAAACATAACATTACATTATATATACAATTGATATCACGAAAGCTAGCACCAGCTAGCTGGAGTTGTCCTTGCTTTAGCAAGTGAGGGGCTGGAATCCTCGGGATCGCCGCATCACGTGAAAACTTCATATGTAGGCCCCCCCTCCCCCCCCGTGGGTTCAACTCCCCCCTCGGACGCCTCTGGGACACCTCTCGGGCATCTCTTATGGCATCCACTTTGGCTTAACTCCTCCGGGATACGGTGCAACAGATTCAACAAGCTCACATGTTCATGACATCGACATCGATAGAAGAAACCAAACAAATCATGCAAGCAGCTTTGTTTTGCCTCTGGGACACCTCTTGGGCACCTCTTATGGCATCCACACTGGTTCAACTCCTCCGTGGAGGTTTTGGGATACGGTGCAACAGATTCAACAAGCTCACAGGTTCGTGAACACATCGGATGCATCGAACAGTGTGGCAAAGTCCAGCCACGCTTCCTTAATTATCGGGGACTTCAATTCTAAGGTTGGCTGTGTCATTGCTGGTTGTGTGTCTTACATGTTCACAACGTTTTACCTCATGAGCATTTGCCTCACTCCGCTTGATGTCCCACCAGTCCGGATGCACCCCTGCTAGCTTTCGTCACCTACCCTCGGCCTCAAGTATATATATATATACTGATATAACACCCGTCATCACATTAACTTTTAGACTTCATTACATGGATGCGTACGTTCACCCATACACACAGACAGACATACAGGACTTGTGCTTTTCCACTTTGGAACAGGGTTGTGGATAAATTGAGGGAGCTATACTGTATGCCAAGTTCTTCCTGGATGCTGCTGTGATGGCTTGACACAGCTTAACACCAGAGTCATTTGCTACTCGCAGCCAAAGAAACTGAGCCATTCAAAGGTCAAGCCAGCCAGCTCCAAGACGCGTGAGGATCAAGCGGATGGGGAAGCCCGAGCAGGCCGTGGACGCGGGTTTTCACCTCGACCACCCAGTGGAATGGCTGCTGGCCGCATCTTGGGCCGGTCAGAGGAGGGTTCCTTGTGGCGGAAAGACCAGAGGCCAGAGGCTCCAGACACCTGGCCCAGAAACTCCCAACCTTAGGCGAATAGTTCCAGACATGGGGTGTTGGGGGACAACAATCCAAGTTTGAGGAACCAGGGAGTGGTTTGTAACGGACTTTCAGGCCGATCGAACCCCAAAAAATCGACCCCTACTTCGACGGGCCACCAAGCAAAGTGATAAACACCATGGTTCTTTCAGACATCTTGGGGGCACAAGGGCCGTACACACTACGGTTACAACCGTGTACCATACTGATTGGTGAGAAGACATTCAGCTGAGTCTGGAACCGTTGATCGCAGATCATCGCAGTCGGACGTGTGGGTGTTTTCATCCCAGGACCTCGTCCTGCCCAAGTGCGAAGACCATGCATCGCTGCGCAACAACGCCACTCGGTGGATGAAGCGTACACCTTACACATGAACCGGGCACACACCTATAAGATGGAGCGTTTCGGATCAGGGGCGTCGAAGAAAAGAGGGGGTTTGGGGTGGAGAGAGGCTGTTTTGGGGGGGGGTCGCCCGCGGCAAGTGTGGGCGCCGAACAGTGGGTTTATGGAGGATTTTTCGAAGATGCTTGGAGGGTCGAGTTGGATGTGTTTTTGGAGTCGCAGGGAAGGGAATGTTGGGAGTCATCGAACTCCAGCAGTCGCCCCCGAAAGATTTGAAGGTGCGGTTTTTTTTGTTTTTACGTTTTTTTACTGCTGCTTCTTTTCCAGAACCCTTTTGATTTGTATATTGAGGAGATCGTCTCTCCAGAAGTGCCATGGTGAAATTAACATTGACAGGTTGAACTGTTTTGATTTCCTCTTTGTTGCACGTCTTTGTCCAACACTTCTCAACACCTTGTATCGCCACAGCCCGAGGCCATGTCCAACCGCTTGGTGCCACAGTCCTACGGGGCCTCTCTTTTTCCGGTGGAGCCTGAAAGCTCTTTAAGCTTTGCGATGGAGACTCGGTTCGGCACTTCTTGAACTGTTAAACACAACTGTCTATGTCATTAAGTGAAGAATCCACAAAGGGGTCTCCAATCAGGATTGCCTCAAAGAAGATCCTGAGACCCAGAAGCCCGAAGTGATCAATGCAAATCCGCTTTTCAGTGGATTGAAGCCGACACCATCCGAATGCCATTCTTCTCATTTACGGTTTCAGAGTACTGTGGATTCATGTAGATTATATGGAGGTCCATCTGAACCACCTCCATGGGCGATTGTGCCATCTACTCTGAAACCACTGGTATGCAGGCGACCGGATCCTTCAAGTCCTCCCTCTTGCGCCTGGGCATGCATGCAGGACCGACGGAGGGACTGAAGAAACCACCTGGGAAGAGACTCACATGGAACCTGAGAATGGACCTTTTGGAAGACGTTTTTTTTTTTTCTCCTCTCTCTCCTTTACAACAACCCAATGGTTTTCAGATGTGTTCAGGTTCCATGTGAATCTTCCAGGGCCTATGTTCAGGTTCGCTGAAGCTGCCCCCCCGAGAAACCAGCTTGAAATCACCTGTGGAAGACGACGCGACGCAATACGACCACACCGAGAGGGCTGACCCGTTGACCAGGGACAAACATGGCCGCAGACTGGATGTCTAAATGATTCTATGTTCACAAGGATTGATAAAATATGTGCCCGTATGAACCCTATTGTGTATCAAGGTTCTTATACGTATTGTCTATCAATTGTCTATTGAACAGAATGCCAAGTGTATTATAACTCCACCTTTGGCCGTGTTTTCGCCGATTACAGGAGGACAGGTGGGACTGGAGCAACTTTTTCTAGACTGAACGATCCAAATTTGCCCGACATTTCCCGTACAATCCGAATCCAAAAGTCGAACCACCTGTCAACTGGATGGATCAGAGAACATTCAAAACAAATCCATCCTATCCATCCTATATCCATCCTATCCTATTGATTGAGCAGTGTGGTTCTATTCTTTGTATTTTGCTTGCTGACCGCGACCTTTTGCGACCGCGGCCGCCGCCGAAACGCCACGGCCGGCCTTACGGTGCCGAAGGTCCGCGCTCTTTATCTTCAAAGCCATGGGCTTCGCCAAGCCCAGCGATCCAAGCTTAACCGCCATCACCCACGTGGAGGCCCATAGGGCCAACGTGCCATCCACGGTCGCGCGCTGTTGGGGAATGGATCAGGGAGAGGCTCCATTGAGGGAGGCTCACGTCGTTGAGACCATTCGGACCTGAAGAGGTCCAGAGGTTGGGTTTTCCACGTCGTTCGCGGTGTTTCAGCACCGATCCTCAGCGGTGCGAGGCGGCGAGTTGTGATCTCTTGGCCTGCTTGGGCCCTCGGGGTCTCACCCGCATGGGCTTGCGCTTCAATCAGCCCACGCCCAACGGCTGCGCGGCGGGACAAGGGGCCAGGTATCATAAGAAGGAGGACCATGGAGGAACTGGGTGGCACTGGGCGGCTGGGGCTGACCATAAATCCTGAAGTTGCCTATAGAACTGAGGCTGGATCGAGCTAGCCCAACACGCCAAGCGTGGCCTGGACCTGCACGAAATGCAGGAGAAGTTTAAAGCTTGCTGCCACGGACAGTTTGTGGATGTAATAATGTAATATATATATATAATCCTTTTGTATATATTAGAGTCACGCCCAAAAAAAGTCCTGTATCCTGTATACTGATACGCATCCTCTGATAGTCTTATTCTTAATCCCCTTGTTCTTTGTGTGCTTTGTATAGGGGTATGTTCGTGCCACTGCTTGCATGTATTTACCATCCACAGCCTCCGCTGTGGTTGACCTGTGAGCAGACTTCAGAGTTTAAAGATGTATTAAAGATAACCACCATTTGTTCTGTTTTCCTAGATCTCAAGGGGTGTCGCCCCCATTCCTCCAGACAGCTTTCATGCCTCTTCTGCCCCGGCGCTGATGCCACTCATTCCCACCTGCCCATCCACGGCGGTGATGTTCTCTGGCGCAGGACCATGTGGAGACGGTGGAGTACGAGCTGGATGACCACGCGCACTTCCTGGAATATGCCGCAGAGAAGCGTGGCTACACTGTAACGTTGGGCTTCGTGCTGTGACTGGGGTGCCAGCATGTTCTGAAGTGGAGTCACTGGAGGATGTTTTGAAGCACCCTTTTTGGATCCTTCTAGACACCTCAGGTGTGCTCAATCCAGCCAAAAGCACGCAACGAGTAGATCCCAGCACCCAGTCGTGTGAAGCAAGCCAGATAGGGAATGATGGGGATCAGGTGGCCCAGCAGAGCAGAACAGGCTGCGGATGGCTGCGGTGGTGGGTAGAGTCAGGGGCTTTGAAACACTCCGAGTGCATCAAGTCAAAGAACTTTGCGTGCCCAAAGATGGCATTGCTCACCACTTCGATAGCCTTCATGCTGTACTTCTACAATCTTTGCAATTTGATATTCTTTAAGATGACTTAAGAATATATTTCTGTTACCAGACTATCTTTTTAATGTCAATGTCCATGAATACACATGTTCCACCTTCTGCGTGGCACTGCCCGTTTAGATCTTCAACGATCCGCCCCTCTCCACGTGAAGAGCGCGTGGCTCGAGTGAGCGGATTTCGAGTGCAGAGTGTGGCGCCCTCTCTCCCACACAAATCGGACTGCTGCAGGTTTTGGAAGGGAAGAGGGTTCCTGCAGGCTTTGGCTCATATTTGCAGGAAAGTGTGGTAACAGCTTCACTCCAAAATCTCACTGACATGACGTCTCTTTGCCCAATGGAATTCCGGCGGGTTAACATCCACCCCGAACTAAATCAAAATACTATAAATTTACTTCGGGGAAATTATATAATCCACCGGAATTCCTCTGTGATCCCCTGTAGGATTCTAAGGCTTCTCAGGGGGAAAGGGTTGTAGGTCATGTATTCACAGGCTTGTTACCAACAAACTTGTACTGTTTTCGGTGTAGGCTTCGATCGTTGGATCATCCCCAGACACTACATGTATGCCATATATGTCTACATGGACCCCTTTTCAACCACCCCAACTGATCGGCAGTCCTATGGCAGTCCCAGACGGGTCGTGTTTGGGATCCACTATGACCATGATGACCACGGTGCCACGATTGGAACCGCACGGGCTCCCGGGCTCCCCGGCCCTGTTTCGTAATCCGGAAGGTCCAGCAGCTCCCCGGCCTGGGCAAAAACGAAGCCACGACCATCACCTCACCTGCGCTGGTCCAGCCTTTCATTGATTCGGTATGGAAATGGAAATGGTCTTATACTTATAGCCAGCTCATGCATTTCTCTCTCTCTCTCTCTCTCTCTCTTGCTCGCAGGCTTTGTGGCGTACAGCCGGGCATGTCTTCTGCGGGTCGCTCTCCATCTACTGGATGGGATGGGAACCGTTTCCGAAAAGCAAGGTCTGGTGCGGTACCATGCGGTACCTCATCATTGAGTATTATAGTGGTTTTGGTGCTAATTGTATGGTATTGTACCACGAAGAACCCCACAAAGCAGGTCCTCAACCTGACTCAACCCGTTTCTTGGTGCGTGTTCGGTTTGGTTTGGGGATCGGTGGTCGCACCCGTTTCGGATGTTTGACCGAGCGGCCAGGCAAACTCCCGAAGCGCCGCAGCGGCGCTCGTCCATCTGGCTGAGCCCAGCGGTGTGCGGGAACTCAACACCTTTTCCCGACAGTGTCGATGGGGATCGGGCATGTCTACTGTATGAACCATGCCCAAGGCAGGGAGCAGGTTGATTTGTCTATAGGTAGTCTAGGTCACCCATTCTGGAAACAGCTTCAATTGCTGTTCTAAAGCAGTCTATGAGCCATCCCTGGTATGACTTGGAAAGCACTTAAGGATACTTAAGGAAGGAAGGGTTGAAACCAGGGCAGAAGAGGGCTTCGTGTCTCTTCACCCGCTGTCCAGCCTAAACTGTGAACCAGTAGTTTGGGATTCTGGGGGGTCGTGTGTAGTTTGGAGACCATGTTTGCTCGTTTGTCACCTGCCTGATTCTTTTCACGTTTGTTGTTGTGCATGTTTGCGCGTATTATAGAATTAGCGAGTATATGCAAGTATATATTGGGTCTGTCCTATTACGTGTAACAGTCAGTAAACAATTATTACTATGTTTGAACAAGGCCTGTCCTAACCAACATCATCCACTGTTACAGCTATTAGGATACATATATATATAGACAGTTGTATGTGTGCTATCATGGAGCCACTGACGGTGCTGGCACCATGACTGTCCCAGGACTGGCAAGGATGAGGAGGTTGGGCCTTTGGGGTACTCGATCGACGAACTCGCACCGTGTGGGTCGAGAGTGACATCGCCCTCGCGGCTGACATCGAGTGACATCGAACTATTCTAATCAAATTTACTTCTGATTATTGTTTCTAATAGCTTCTTGTTACTAGTAGTAAGGCCAGGGGCCCCGTTAGTAGCATTCTTGCTCCTAGTAGTACGGACAGGAGACCCGTTCGTAGCGTCCTGGCCTTTATAGTGCCGCAGTCGCCGTACATTCTTGAGATGCTGCATTCTTTGGTGATGATGTAAATTCTTGAAGTGAACATGCACACACACATGTATACATAGATTAAACACACACTCACACATATATATATATATATATTAATAATATTAATAGGTATATATACACACATAGACACATAAAGATGATGGGAGTGACCTTTTGAGCCTGTTGGTATCCCGTCATGGGGGGTAGGGTTTTGCTCCCAAGTGTTCCGAACGGCCAGGATTGGACGAAGGGACGGAAGAAGTTGAGGCTGCGTATGCGGCGTGCGATGATGGTTAGCGCAGTGCAGCCAACTCAATGCAATGCCAACAAACTATAACAACATGTCCACCTCGCTTTGGTTGAGCAAAGGTGAAGAAAGGGAACTGACTGAGCCAGCAAGTGAATCTTAGAGTCCTCTTCGTTAATCTTAAGCACGAGTGTCTGCATGTTCTGTGCAGTCGGGAAGTGAAGTTTTCGAGTTGAATTGGACTTGCCCAACTTGCATCATGCATAATTATTTCAGAACAGAACCTGAGACCTGAGAGTGTTGGACTTGGCAGGCTCCCACCATTTCCTCCCAGTGAGGGGCCCCATTTCCTGTTCAGAAGCTGGCGCCACAGAGTGCATGTTCAAACTGATGGGGCCACAGAGTGGGCCACCTTTCTTTACAGGTGGTGATTTGTTCAAGAAGCCTTAGATTTGGTGCAGATGTTTGAGCTGACCTCAGTCGAAGTGTTGAAGTCTTGGGCTCCAAAGGTTGCTCACAGATGCAAAGCAACTTATGGGGGAGCTGTCCATGACAGCCAAAGGGTGTTAAGCAGGTCCGGTTTTCCCTGTCTACATACCTGCCTACATGCTCATGACCCATGGTGCACATTGTTTTGGGTAGTATGTGTTGGTAGTATCCTGAAGTTCGTACAACCTATTTCAATCCAGTTAGCTATTTGATCTTGACGAACTCAAGGAGCTGCCAGGGCCCCAGACACCATGCATTCCAGACACGTCATGTTTTCTACCGAATACGTCGTTGTGATCCTGGAAGCCGCCGACGACGGTTGGGGTGGCATATATTCCATATGTCGTTGGTGTGTTTTTGGGTATGTACATGATCAGAGGGGCTTGCAAAAATGACTCTCACTTTTTTTT